AGCATTCCCTTCCTCTGTTAGAATGACATGCAGCATTCCCTTCCTCTGTTAGAATAACATGCAGCATTCCCTTCCTCTGTTAGAATAACATGCAGCATTCCCTTCCTCTGTTAGAATGACTTGTTTCTTGCTCTGTATGCAAGCTCTACATGTGCACAGTGAAATTGTCTCAAACTCCAATTCTTCTCAATATTTATAATTGTTTATGGTCCGCGTAATTGAATGCATAGTTAATGTAGGCAAACATCTTTCTTGTATTCACTGCTTGCTAACCACAAGTTTGGCTGTTCAAACTCAGCAGCTGCTCCAAGGGAGAAAGATGACGCTTTCTACTCCTGCACAGATTTGCAGTCTTGTAAGCCACATGAGCAGTTCCACTCTGGGTTGCTGTGAGTTGGAATAAGCTTGCTGGCTTTGGTGTGCATCCTTATATGTTGGTGCTTTCTATAGAACATTGTTAGATGTCTTCCCTCTGTTTTTGAATCCTAGCGGCCTATACAACAGAATGAAACACTGCCCAGGGCTGAAAAAATGCATTTACTGTGCCAAATTATATGTGGGTTTGTACACATTAAGTATTAATAGCTCTTCCTGGTTTTCTTTTTTTTCTTCCCAGTTTACTTTTCATAAAGAAATTGTAGTAACTGTAAAGCTTCTCCCACTCTCATTTTGTGTGTGTGTGTGTGTGTGTAAGTTGTACTATCATACTTTTGCTCAAACAGTGACCCATGACAGATTAGTCTTAATAGCAGAAGCCACAGAACACTGGCACTCTCTCAGCATAATGGCAGGATGTTTCATGTGGACAAAAGCCGTTAGGAAGGAGTCTTTCATGATTGTTTTGTTTTCTAACAATTGGCTTACACATTCAGATGATGACTATCTCAAGCTTAGCTTGTGTTCTGGCATTTAGGCACCTTCCTCTTTGCTTCCTTAAACAGAGAGTTTTAAAAGCTCAGCCTTCCCTCATAGCTTCAAAGCTAGAAACAAACAAACCAAACTCAATGCCACTCAGTAGATTTTGACTCCTAGCAACCCATTAGGGCAGGTTAAAACTGCCCCTGTGGGTTTCTGACTGTAACTCTTAATATTTTTTTAAATCATTTTATTGGGGCCTCATACAACTCTTATCACAAGCCATACGCACATCCATTGTGTCAAGCACATCTGTACATTTGTTGCCATCATTTTCTTTTTTTAATAATTTTATTGGGGCTCATACAATTCTCACCACAATCCACAGATACATCCACTGTGTCAAGCACATATGCACATACCGCTGCCATCATATTCCCAAAACACCCGCCCTCCACCCTGAGCCCTTAATATCGGCTGCTCATTTTTCCCCCTCCCTCTCCAGCCATCATCATTTTCAAACATTTTCTTACAACTTGAGCCCTTGGTTTCAGCTCCTCATTTTTTTCTCCTCCCTTCCCCTCCCTCCCTCATGAACCCTTGATAATTTATAAATTATTATTATTTTTCCATGCCTTGCACTGTCCGATGTTTCCCTTTACCCCCTTATCAGTAGTCCATACCCCTGGGAGGGGGTTATAGATAGGTCATTGTGATTGGTTCCCCCTTTCTCCCCCACCTTCCCCTTCCCCTTCTGGTATTGGTCCTGAGGAGTGTATCTGTCCTGGAGTCCCTGTGTTTCCAGCTATTATCTGTACCCATGTACATGCTCTGGTCTAGCCAGATATGTAAGGTAGAATTAGGGTCATGCTAGTGGGAGGGAGGAAGCATTAAAGAACCAGAGGAAAGCTGTATGTTTCATCAGTGCTATACTGCACCCTGACTGGCCTATCCCAGTGACCCTTCTGTAAGGAGATGTCTAAATGCCTACAGATTGGCTTTGGGCCTCCACTCCGCACTACCTCCCCCCACCCTCCACCCCCCACCCCCCATTCACATTGACATGATTTTTTGTTATGGGTCTTTGATGCCTGATACCTGATCTGTTGACATCTCCTGATCACACAGGCTGGTGTGCTTCTTCCATGTGGGCTTTGTTGCTTATCAGCTAGATGACCGCTTGTTTGTCTTCAAGCTTTTAAGACTCCAGATGCTATATCTTTTGATAGCCGGGCACCATCAGCTTTCTTCACCATATTTGCTTATGCACCCACTTTGTCTTCAGTGATCCTGTCGGGAAGGTGAGCGTCTCAGAATGCCGGATTATTAGAACAAAGTGTTCTTGTGTTGAGGGAGTACTTGAGTGGAGGCCCAATGTCCATCTGCTTCCTTAATACTAAACCTATAAATATAAGCACTTAGATCTATTTCCCTTTCGTCATATATAAATATATTTACATATGTACGTGCCTGTATTTAAATCTTTATAAATGCCCTTTCCCTCCTAGTTCTCTTCTCTATTTCCTTTAACTCTCCTCTTGTCCCACTATCATGTTCAGCCTTCATTTGGGTTTCAGTAATTCCTCTCAGTTGATCAAGCCCTACCATACCTCCGACATCCTCCTCGCCATGGATTTTCGATCACTTGTTGTTCTGACTGTAACTCTATGGGAGTAGAAAGCCTTGTCTTTCTCCTGTAGAGCACCTGGTGATTTTTAACTGCTGACCTTAATCTCAGTAGCTCAAAGAGTAACCGCTATAGTACTGGGGCTCCTTCGAGGCTCAAAAGGGGGATTTAAACTCTTCTCCAGGGCAAGTCTTCCCTTTGGTATCTGGGTAAAGGGAGGGCTGAAGATGTGTTTAAAAAAAAAAAAAGTATTCTGTAGGGTTGCATAAGATCAGCTTCCAGAGCCTTTGCTCTCGTGTGTGTACCAGGTTTCTCCTAACCGGTTTTATTGTCAAAAAGTGTTTTAAATGATCTACTGAAGGTTGAAAAAATTCAAAACTTTTCCCCATCATAGTTTTTAATAAAATGAACTATTTTTGTAAAGTACACATCACCAGCGGCCATGCATATGAGTATGACCATTTTGACTACCCTTAATTTCTTACTTTTTCTTTCAGGTTGACTTTACATTTTGTCTTATGACTGTGACTCAGACTTTGCCTACATAGAAGGAGGGCAAATGCCTGTTGTTCAAGCTTTTTACATTTTCTGCCCTCTCACTGTAGGAGGAGAGAGCAGTCAGAGACCGGAACCTCCTTCAGGTTCAAGACCGTGACCAGCCCATTCCTTGGAAAGTGCAGTTTAACTTGGGCAACAGCAGTCGGCCCAGCAATCAGTGTCGGAATTCCATTCAAGGGAAGCACCTCATCACGGATGAACTTGGTAAGGCTGAGTCGCTTTTGTGGTCTGTGAGGTACACTGAGGGCCCTTTGTAGGGCATTTTTTAGGGACTCTTCTACAATACACTTTCCCTTTCATTTCTGACATTTCTCAATATGTTTCATACCCACTAATTGTTTGGGGATACCTTTAATGTCAACAAAGTGTGGTTTGATAATCCTAAATGTTCTTTGTGCCAGAAACTTAACAATTCTAGTATTTTATCATGTCTAAGTTCCTAAATGACTACCTGCCAATCTCCCCCACCCTTAGTATTTTCTAAGGTTGTATCCTTTACTTCCCATTTTGTTGGTGAACTCTATAGAATAAAAACTCAGTTCACCTCCTTGGTACCCTCACTAATATCCTTTACAGTATTGGAAATATTTAGGAAATGTAATTGTTGTTAAAGAGAAATCTTCTCTTAAACTTACTGAGCAAAAATTTCAAATGAATTGTAAGTACATTTAGAATACGTTATTCTTACAGTTAAAACAAAAGTTAATTTTGGTACTTTGTCCCATGTGCTTGCTTGCTTTTAAGTTTTACAAAAGGAGATTCCTCCATTGGTTTGATGGCTAGACTAGACAATTGCTAGAAAGAGCTCTGACTTCTTGCTAGGCATTATGCTGCTCTGATAGCCTTCCTTAAATATCATGTTTGATTTTTGCAGATGATAACAACAATGCTATTATATCAACAATTCCATTTATTCCTTAATATTAAATATCTAACCATTGTCCAGAATTCCCCGTGTCTTTGTAAATTGGTTCTTTTCAACAGGTAGTTGTATTTCTGTTGGCTTACAAATATTTTTCTGTTTGTTTGCAAAAATAAATCTTACTCTACTTCAAAGAGTCCTAGAGCTGGTTGGGTGTATTAACCTTTTGTGGTCTGTGAGGTACTAGATATAGTACTTGATATAGGTACTAGAATCTTCATCTGTACTTGATGGAAGTAATCACAGTGAAGATAAATTCTTTTTTTTGCTTGTTGTTAGAAATGTCTTTATTATCTCTTATTATTAAGCACCAGCTTAATAATGCAAAAAAAAAAAAAAATTCAAGTCACTCTTCCATAATGTCCCCCAATTCTCAATAAAGCACGTTTCGAGTAAAGACATGCTCTCTTCTCTCTTCCATATAAAACTTTATGAAACGAAGGCAAAGAACTGTGTACATCTTGCTGTCAAATGCTGCCCGTGGCCGTGGAGGCAGCGTCTGCCCATGCTCCCTCTACTGTCCGGGTCCCGAAAGACTCTTGTTCATGAACTGCCTCTGCACAAAGCATGTCTACCACTTGCTAGGCTTGTCATTCTGAGGGTCAAAAACTTTCTTACAAGCCTAAGTCCCGTCTCTTGCCTTAGCTGCTGCAAGTAGGCTCTCATCACTTCATCTTCCTGCTCGTTTGCAGGTTTGGCATAAATGGTGTTCAGTGGAAACCCGGGCTCTCCAGGTATGGGGAAGTTAGTGATGCCCAGCGTGTACATTTCTGTCTCCCCTTGGCTTCTGGAATTGTACTTCTAGAGTTTCTATAAGCATTCGGATATGCAGAGAGTGATGTATATTAAGGGCCTGTCTGCTTCATTCTTAATTTCATAGTTTTGGAAGGAGACATTGGCCTTGAAGTAATAGATGGACTCATCCACAATATTTATATCTTTTGTCTCTCAAGGAGCAGGTCCTTTGAACTGACTTATGATAGGTAGCAGGGCCATGTTTCCAATGAGTTTGGTCTCTGGGTCCAGGACAGAGGGGTGGTAGGCTGACATCTTGAAGGCACCGAGGCTGAGACTTAACTGAGTAAAATCAATGAGAGCATAGCACTTCCGGTCTCTAAAGATACATTCTTAAAATGAAAACCCCAATGTGTTACTGAGTTTTGGGTTTTGGTTTTTCTTAAGTTTGCATTCCCAAGAAAACAAAACAAAAAATCCTTCTCAAAAAGATTTTAAATTTATCAAACAAATGAGAGGGTTATTGGAAGTTGAAGAGAGGAGTCAGGAAAACTCCCCAAATAGCATAGAAGAGCCAGAAAGTTTTGTTCAAAAATACACTCCCAACTTGGCAACGATGCCACCTAAAATTTCTGTTTTACCATCCCATTTTAAAAACAATGTTGTCAACCTTTTGTTGTTTGTTTATTTTTAAGCAGTAAATGTTAGCAAAGGGAGATTATTCATGCAAGATGACACAATTAGACAAAGGACAGACTTAGGATGAGGACCAAGTGTTTGAGTTTTGATTTAGACTGTAGGACATTCATGGAGGAAATACAAAACTTCGTAGTTTAATTCTTTATTTCCATAAAACCTGAGGCTCTTATTTTTACCTTTGTGAAAGTAATGATAAAGGTAAACAGCTTAATATAGAAAATGTGCAAGAATGTATGCGTTTTAGAAAACACTTCACCATAAATATTGCCAGAACAACACATTATTAAACAAGGCAATCAATTAGAATTACACACTTTTCAGAGATTGGGAGCTAATCTCCCAGGCTGTAGCAACACACTTTGAAGTGGTGATTTTACAGGACTCACTGAAAATAATGTTTGCCTGAGTAGATTTATAATGCAAAATAAGAACTCTCTCTTGAGTGAATTCTGTTTCACCCAAAGCTCGAAAGACCTCTTGGTTTCGAGGCTGAGTACTAGAGGTCAGCACCGGGAGGGAAGAGATGGCTTGAGAAGCCTCCATTGATGATGTGATACAGAAAAGGAAGGGAAAGGAGAGAATTCCAACCAGTGGAGTTTAAGCCACACGTTATTTTACATCTTCCTGATACAGAAGTCATAGGATTGCCATGCATTTATCATTGGTGGCAGAATTTTGGGAAAAATGCTGACTTATTTACATTATTTTTAGCTATCATCCTTGGGACAAAAATGAACAGAGTTAGAAAGACTCCTAGAAATTTACTATGGCATTAAAATCCAACTTTCTTACTCTAGAAGACAGAATTGCACGTGTGTGTTTGTTTTTTTAAAGCGCCTCCTCCCAGGTAACTGACCTGGTTCTGTTAAGTGAGGGCTCTTTTAGTCGTGATTCTGCTGGTGCTTCTTCGTTTTGCACACACTTTGTTTTCCAGAGTAGTTGCTGAAGACAATCATACACATCACCCAGGCTCATTCTCTGAGGACTGGGAAACTGGGGCATTTGGAATGGAGTGATACTGGGAACAGCTGCTCTACACCTGAGAACCGGTGCGTGTACTTGTGGGCCCATGCGTGCACCTGGAAGTTTCCCAAGGGCCAAGTGGTATCCCACATGGACTTATTCATACATTTTTCTATCCCACTCCCAGAAGGATATAGAGAAATGTCTAGTTAGGAGCTCAGAACAATAAGTTAGCTCTTGGTAAGAGATTCTTTCCCCAAACGAGCATGAATTAACCGAATCAGAAGGTGTACGTGTATATAGATAATGGAATTTAAGAGATGTAGAGGAAGTTAAAAGATTTCTTTGCTTGGACACTGCAAAATGCTGCATTCCCTAATGTCCAGGGGTCATTGAACTCAGTATTTCTATTTACAAACAACCTAAATTGATTTATAAAGGTCAGGAAATGACTACTCTTTTAAAAGTATTTTTAAAACTTTAAACTACTGAATAAATGTCAAGAATTCAAAAGATAATTCTGAAGAATTGTTATTTGTTTTTAATCTAGAAGACTCATCTTGGTTTTTCTTATTTTCAAAGTTTTGTTTGAAGAAGACTGATATTTCTTCAGGTTAGATGAAAGACTGTGTGTAAGTTAGAATAGAAAAACATAGATGCAGTTAAATGTGTGACAGCAGACTGAAATATAATGGTGTCTTAATTCTCTAGTGCGACTATAACAAATACTACAACTAGACAGCTTTAAAAAACAAATTTATTCTCTCACAATTTAGGAGGCTAAGCCAAAACCCCACTGCCATCCAGTTGATTTCTACTAATAATGACCCTAGGTTTGGCTTCCAAGATTATAAATCTTCACAGGAGCAGACAGCCTCATTTTTCTCCTAAAGACTGGCTGGTGGTTTTGAACTGCGGGCCTTGTAGTTAGCAACCTAACTAACACATGGTCCGCAGTGCCACCAGAAGTCACATTCAAGGTGCCAGCTCTAGGGGAAGTCATTTTCTGTCAACTCTGAAAGAAGATCCTTGCTTCCTTGGGACCCCGTGTTCCTTGGACATTTATGTACCTTTGCAACAGTCTTCCCATGGGTCTAGCAGCTACTCAGCACAGGGACCCTGGGTCCATGGAATGCGCTCTGCATCTGGCTCTTATGTATTGGTGGTAGTCAGGTCCCTCTAATCTCTGCTTGCTTGTCTAATCTTTTCTGTGTTTCAAAAGGTATGGACTCAAGGGATAATCTAATCCTGTAGATATGCCATGCTTCTTTAACATAATTTCCCCTAATCTTGCCTTGTTAACATCATAGAGGTTAGGATTTACAACACAGGATAATTTCAGTAGATCTCAAAATGGAGAATTATTACCTAATACTGAGGTTCATGGTCTAGCCGTGTTGCCATATATTTGGAGGGAACAAAATTCACTCCATAACACGTAGGGTTATGGTGTGTAACCTGGTTAGAACATGGGAGTCCCTGTTTCCTATGAACTACCCCATGTAGGAAGCCAGCTCTATTCACATTATGTCTAACTTTGGCCTCTTTGGTGTTTGGGATGCCCAGACTGCAGATTCTCTCGCTCTTTGTTCTTTTAGTGTAGTATTTTCATTGCTTCCTGATCAAGGTGGGACTGCTGGTTGTATGCTAAAGTTGGTCTCTGAGTTTCAGGATATGTATGTGAAAGGAAGGATTTGCTGGTGAATGGCTGCTGTAACATCAACGTCCCTAGCACAAAGCAATATTGCTGCAATGGCTGCTTGTCTAATGGCTGCTGCAGCGCCTATGAGTACTGTGTCTCCTGCTGCCTGCAGCCCAACAAGGTATGTTGAATTGTCCTCATGGAGCATCCCCCTTTCCCATCTGCCTTTACTTTATGGTAAGCATTGGTCTCTTGTGAGAATCTTTGGAAAATAGAACCAGGAATGGAGCATTGTAGGTATCAGAAATTGCTAGCGTGGACTACCTTTGCCTACAAGTATAAGAGGTGGTACCATGCCCAGTGTCTTTAGTGGCTCTTTTGCAGAGTGTACCATTGTATTGCTATTTGGATATCTGATGAATAAGACACTCTCCCCAATCAACATTCTCTTAGCAAGGAAGAGGTATCCAAGGTTACCTTGTGCTGGCTTTGTCTGGAATTTATTACTGGTACAAACTTTTATTTCCATAGCAACTTCTCCTGGAGCGCTTCCTTAACCGGGCAGCCGTGGCATTCCAGAACCTCTTCTTGGCAGTTGAAGATCACTTTGAATTGTGCTTGGCTAAATGCAGAACCTCATCTCAGGTCAGAAGCTGCGATTTCTCTCACTTGGGGGTGGGCAGGTGAGAGTCAGGGGTGAGAAAAGGAGCATTTGGTGTTATATGCTGAAGGAGAAATGCTTCAAATGGAGCCATGTCAAGCATTGTTTGGTTTTGCTTGGTGTAATGATAGGATTTAGAATGACAAAGTGACATTTATACAAGGGAAGTAAAGCGTATAGTTAATCAAAGTCTAATCAACTTGTATCTTTCCTATCTGAATTGCATGTCTACGCTTTAAGTGGGAGCTTAAAATGATTTTTGAATGAGTGATGTACTAATAGTCCAACTCTTGAGAGAAGGTCTCTCCTCCCTGTCTGAAATTTGACTAAGGCTTTGCAGCAACCACTTGCTTAGAGTAAGTAGTAATTTGTTCTAGGGCAGAGTTGTGATTTATTTCAGATCTAAAGGGTGGGTGTTTAAAAATACATGAATAAATCTGTAGGTTGTCAAGCTCTCAATACTTATTTGCATGCTGTCATTAACTGCTTGGGCATCACATATTGCACCTGCTGCTGCCATCGTCTGAAAGTCTCTTGCCTTTCCATCGCTCCCTCTCTGCATTCTCCTCTCCCCGCTTTTGTGGTTGGGCGCTTGTCTTAGTTCTTCTTTGTGTAGTCTCATACATGTTTATTGCACCTGCACGCGTCTCCCGGCTTCTCTTCATGGTGCACCCAAATTGTTCTGCCTTCATCTGTGATAAGCAGTCATTCTCCAGAACTCTTGTACATTTGGTCAGATTTCTATATTCCACCTTTTGATTTTAGTTCTCTTTTATGTCTGCCTTGCTCTGAGTACATTCAGCATCACTGGGTAAATGTTTCTGGGATTATAATGAGCATGTGAGAACATTAAGAAATTCCTGATTGTCTTGTTTTGCTTGAAGAGCTTTGCACTTGAATGGGCTCTAAAGGAAATGGTCAAGAAGGCTGAACACACGACTCATTTTGGTTCAGTCTTAAATCTGTGAAATGTTAGAAAAGGTGAAGGTTTTTCTTTTGTTGTCCTTAACTGATAAAACCCAGGAGTTCTAGTCTGTAGTGAACTAAGCTTTTTGACTTTATCTTTATTGTAAAGAGTGATTTCCCAATTACCATTCAATTTTTATTGATAACTAAAACCAGACCCACTACCGTCCAGTATATTCCGAATTATAGTGACCCTAAATAGGGTTCCCAAGGCTTTGTAATTCCATACAGGAGCAAATAGCCTCATCTTTCTCCTGCAGATCCGCTAATAGATTTGAACTGCCAACCTTGCAATTAGCAGTCCAGTGTTACCCACCACCACCACCACCACCATGAGGGCTATGTCTTCCCAAAAAGAAGAGTTGGCTGTGCATCTCCTAAATTGGATTAATATTTACAATTTATTTATTTAACCTAATTAATGAACTCTAAACTAGTCAAAAACTCAACTTGCTTGTATGAAAAAAAAAATTACTCAAAAAGTAGCCATCAGGGTTGCTTGTCTGCATTAAACACTCGTGCACTTCGCTGAGCCAAACTAAGCGTGAGTGGCAGTGTGGGGTGTATGATTCATGCGCCAAACTTTTAGGTACATAAACTTCATGAAAGCAGCTGCAAGTGCATCTTGTCAGTCTCTCTCTGGGGTCTAATACTGAATTTCTTTGACGCACAGGGAGGGATTAGCCACAAAATACCCATTGACTCTTAATCTAGCTTAAAATAATGGGAGAAAAATGAGTTGTCTAGAGCCGCCGAGGTCACAGCCAGGCTGTTATAAAATCTCACTCGTGAACATAAAAAGAAATGTGCATGCTGGGATGTTATTTCCATTTTAATGTTCTTCTTTGGCAGCAGTCTCTGTTAGGCATTCCTCTTTGTTCTAGAAAGTGCCCTTTGGAGATGGACCCAGCCAGACTCCTACAGAGTGAATCTGACAGCAGTCCTCTTTCGATTTCTACTATTCTGAAATGAAGGTGGTGTGAAATTCTACTCTCTCTCACGGCGGTCTTGTCTTCCCTTTTGCCAACAGAGTGTACAGCACGAGAACACCTATAGGGATCCCATAGCAAAATACTGCTATGGAGAGAGCCCTCCCGAGCTCTTCCCTGCGTGACGGGCACAGGGACGGAAAGCGGGTGAGGAGGGCTTGGCCGAAGCCAGACTTCAGTGTGCACACTGCACACTCTCGAGCTGGACGAGGACCGAGGCGGCAGGAGGAAACCTTGGTTCCAACACTTCCCCTGGTGTTCTCTCTGGCTTCACTGGGCCCTGGGCTTTACCTACAGAACGGCATCGTAAAAGCCACCTGGCCAGCTCCAGCTTTGCTTCCCGGACAAGACCCAACTGCAGGCCGAGCTCTCGGTGCCGCGGACATCTGTGGATGACTCTACGGTGTACCTGCAAAGGGAAAGGGGAATCGTGTTACCTCCATGTTGGAACTCAAGTTTTCTCTGACACTTTGGACTGAGGCCCTCCCACTGTAAAATTATTTATTGGATTTTCTGTGGCGTTGTAGGACAGTTAAAATGTTTGGTGGAGGAAAATGCCTTGACTTTGTAGTTGAATATGTTCAAGGGAAATTTGTGGGGGATTTTGTTGTTCTTGTATTTCTTGAGCTAAGTTATTCTCCTTTTTGCCCAGATAAAATGTCTCATTTCTTAGAACATGGATTTTCTCTCCAGGAGGTGATTTTTTTACTTTAACAGCATCTGTCAGAGTGGGTCCCTGAGCACCAACACTTTGTGACATAAAAAATTACCTGAAAAGTTAGATACTGTTTCAGTCTCATCACGTGCAAAATCTCCATTATTGGCACCCTCTGCGCACAGGTTCTTTCCCAGTGGTGTTTAAACATACTGTAGACCTTTTAGAAGCACCAGTCCTGACTCACTGCCCTGGAGGATTTGGTTCTCGTTTCCTTTGTCCCTCTGAAAACTCACTGCCTAGCACAGTGCCTCAGTGGGAGCTATGTGTGATTAAAACAGCTTAGGGGATAGCAGACTTGGGGGTTGTTGGGTGCCCTGGATCCACACACTTGAGGCATTTCCCCCTTCTGTATTGTAACACTGAATCTCGCTGGTCCTAAGGTCACGATGGTGCCCCTTCAATAGAATGCAGACGCTTCAAGAAGTTTGTGGGAAATTTCTATTATCTTTCAGTTCCATATTTTCATAAACTTTTTGAAGTCCCCTCACACGGCTGTTTGGTTTTAGGAGCCACATTAACTTATACTTCTTTCTGAAAGCCATTCACTCACCCTGGGATTGGACAAGGCCTCTTTCATATTTCTGATTGTTCACTTGGTGGATCTGGGGATAGGACTGACTTCTTACCCCTTTGGGGCTTGTCTATTGTGTTGGGAGCAGGAGTTGCATCTAGTTTCACAATGAATTTTTAATGCTTTCCCCAGCCCCCCAGTGGCGCTTTCTCCTTTGGCCTTCCATTATGTTTTCACAGTGTATACAGTGGTGACCCTTAATCTAAGGTGACCAGACGTCCCGCTTTTTAACAATTTTTCCCGTGTCCCGTGGCATTTTTAAAAAGCCCCGATTTTTGGAAAGAATGCACGACAAGTTAGGGTATTCGGATTTCGGCTGCCATGTGGCTATTTCGCCAGGATATGAGTTTTATCAATGGTGTCCCGCTTTACCAATGTTAAAATCTAGTCACCTTACCTTAACCTCCTCCTCTTACCTTTCACACTTAACCTTTCCACAGTACTTTACTCCTCTTAAGTAAGCCTTCTTTAAGGGTAAGTTATCAGGCATTTGCTTTTCAATGCTAGATCCCAAGAAACTTACTCTGTTTGCGATGTATTTTTTGGATTCTATGCATATTAAATGGTGCTAAATCTTTGCCTGTGAAAGAATTGTGGCACATCTGGATGTTTTGGTAACTCAATTTTAGTCTTTCTTCTCTTGGTCGTATTGGAATTTGAGCTTATTTGAACTCTTAAACAACATAACACATGTTTAATGTGACCAGATGACGTGTGGGTCTATCGATTGAGTCCCTCCAGCTTTGCATTTGAATAACAGGTTGTGCATAGTTAGTGCTCTTATAAATCATACTTTTACCTTGTCAAAGAATTAAGCCTGCTTGTCTTCCCACCCCACCGATGAGAGAATAGAGGGGGGTGAAGTGACTTCCAGAGTCCCTACTGAGACTTAACAAAACAAGAACTTCTTCTTCGACTCCTGGTCTATCGCATCTTGCCTGTTCCAAGGCTGACTCATCTGTAAGCAGCTCCCCTGAGAGCGTATATATTTCAGTTGTCCAGGCCAAAAAAGGAGAGAAGTGACATAAATATCCAAATTAGGTCGATAAATCCAAAGGTCATTTTCATTTGGCCATGGATTATGTTTTTTGTACTTAGGGGTATGTTCACTGGGAAATTCGCAACACTTCTAATTGCATAATGAAGCTAGAACACTGACGGGTCTAGAATGTGTCTGTCTTCCCACCATGCGCTCTGCTCTCCACTCCTTGGCTGGTTTCTAGAAATGGGAACCTTGTCATTTTTTTCGATGTCCAATTCTAGCAAAGTGTGTGATATGAGGGAGACTTCAAAAAGTTTGTGGGAAAAGTCCAGTCTTTTCATTCAATTTTCTATGAACCTCTTGAAACCCAAACCCTCCTGTACGTCCTTGGTAGTCAGAGGGAAAAGTCAAAGAAAGGGAGAAAGCATCTTCAGCATGGAGAAAATGTACTAGCTGTGGAATAATTTGGGCTAAAGGTAATTTGATAATCCAAAGGCTTTGCTTGCCCCTCATTCTGAATTTTTTCCTTGATGGAGCTGTAAAGATGAGATATGGGCCAAACAAGGAAAGAAAAATAAAGTATGAAAAAGGCTCTGTTAGTCCCCCAAGCCATAGACCTACTCTGTCAGTTTCAACTGATAGTAACTCACTCTAACTCAAGACTACTTAAACTCCTAGTGACCTTATAGGACAGAGGAAACTGACCCATAGATTTTCCAAGACTGTAATTTTTATGGAAGTATACTGTCACATCCTGAGGAGTGGCTGGTGGGTTTGAAGCCCTGACTTTTGGCTAGCAGTTGAGCATTTAACCACTGTCCCAAAAAGCTCTGTGGGCTCTGATACAGGAATGTGCGAAGGAGGGTGTGATCACCTCCCTGTCCTGGAACTTGGGGGCTGGCATTGCAGCTCTTGAAAAGCAGGAACAGGAGTTTTTAAGAGCAGCTACTAGGGTTTCTAGCATGTTTCCCAAAGTTGACTCGAGGCCTCAAAAGAAGGCCTCCGTGATTGTTGAGTCCTGGGAACTCTGGGGAAAGATTTCCAGCAAAGCTCTTAACCATTGTAGATCACTTGGAAATGCATGGAGATGTTGGTTACTTGAGGTACTGTCCACAGGCAGGGTAGAATTCTACCTTATTCTTAGTAACTAGGGGTTGCTGTGTGGGGCAAACGGTTAAGGCCTTGACTACTAGCTAAAGGGTGAGCGGTTCAACACACCATGCCCACCAACCCACAGATACACCTTGGAAGACAGGTCTGGCAATGAAGACACTGGGTATATATGGTCATCATGAATCAGAATCAACTCGGCAACTAACAACCACAATAAGTAACTAGTACTTATTATTGGTGTGGCCTCTTAACCGAGTCTCATGCCCTTCTGCTGTGAAATGCAGCTAATGGCAGCTGCCTCTCCTGATCCTTGTGAGAGGGCCCGTTGGGGACAGTGTGACATCATAGGCAAGGGCCCTGGTGTCGAAAGGGCAGTCATCACAGCCCTTTTCCTTTGATTATTTCCACTCTAAGAGCAACTTACACTAAAATGAACAATTTCAGATTTTTCAAAAATGCGTAGAGAAAGTTATGGGTAACTTAAAATCATACAACCTACAGAGATGCCCCAGACATGCTTCCTCTGCCTGCGTGACTGTTTGTAGGCACTGCTCTTGGCGACAGTCCTAGCGTGGGCATCCTTCTATGAGACACAAGGGCTTTTATGCTCATCGTTTCTTGATGGTATTTATTGTGTTGTTGTTGAGTATATCATCATTTGTAATGGCCACGTGGACTTCGGTTTCCTGGAGTTAGTCCTCTACTGAAGATGTTCGTGCTGCTGCCTAGTTGGGTTTCGTTTCGTTTTGCTTGTACTACAAAGAATGCGGTGGTGTCATTTTGCACACATCTTCGCATATTTCCTTTTGTATATCTCTCCTCTCCCCTGAAAGTGTGAGAGTATCTACTCTGCCTTACCCTGGAGAGCCCCAGTGAGTGACTGTTCTAACTCTTGGCTAATGGGCCTCAGGGTTCTGATTTCTGTTTACACCGATCTGTGTTTTGACTGGCCATTTGCCTTTCCTATTTGGTGAATAGTCTCTTTGTGACCTTGGCCAATTTTCCTCTCCTTTTTTTTTTTTTTTTTTAAACTGATTGTTGCAGAGGTCTCAAGTGCCTTCTGCTTTCTTTTCAGGTCCTGAATTACTTAGATGCAAGTAGCTTGTCTATCACAATTCATCTTTTCCAGTTATTCTAGGGCAGTAGTTGTGGTGGGTCGGGTGATTTTGTCCCCCAGGGGACATTTGGCAATGCCTAGAGACATTTTTTGTCACAACCTTGAAGGGAAGGGGTGCTACTGGCATCTATTGAAAGAGGCCAGGGATGCTGCTCAACATCCTGCAAGGTGTAGGGTGACCCTCACACCACAGAGTCAGTTGACTTGGAATGTCAACAATGCCACAGAGCAGAAGCCCTACTCCAGGAGCATGTTCCTCCCGTCAGTTGAACAGAGGAGCTATCAGGGGCTGAGTGCTGACTTCATTATTTCCCTGCCCTTGCTTTCTGCTGTGCTGAAGAGCTGATGATTAAATTACCCTGAAATTCCCACAGGACACATGTACTTCCTTGCAGGTCTCTACCAGCCTCGTGCTGCTTTCAGGTGTAGCATGATTACTCTGCACTGGTGTTCCAACTGCAATAACATCACCCTCCAAGTGCCAAAAGCTGGCCGTCTGCAGAGCAAGCTGGACGTGGGTGACCCCCTCACAGCCCCCACACAACATACACACCACCACTGCATCCCAGGTGTGTTCTCCCCACTGCTTCTGCAACCGCACTTGCTGGTGTGCAGCCACTTTGGGCATAGGGATGAGAAAGAGGTGTGGGCAGGTCATTACCAATTGGATGTGGAAATTACTGAAAAAGTAGCTTATGAGTAAAAACAAACAGAAAGCAAGCAGGTTGCTGTCAAGTTGATGCTGAATCACAGTGACCTCGTGGATGGCAGAGGAGAACTCTATCCCACAGGGATTTAGGGTGCTGTTATCTTTATGGAAGGAGTCCTAGTGGGGCAGTGGTTAAGAATTTGGCTGTTGGCCAAAAGGTTTGCATCTACCAGCTGCTCTGAGGGAGAAAGATATAGCAGTCCTCTTCCACTAAAATTAGGGCAGTTCTACTGGCGTCCTTAACAGGGTTGCTGCTAGTAGAATCCACTCAGCAGCAGATTGTTTGTTTTTAATCTTCATAGAAGCATATCTCCAGACCTTTCTTCTGAGGTGCCTCTGGGTAAGTTCAAATTGCCAATCAGTCGGTGGTCTAGCACAAACTGTGACATAAGGGAACCTATTTACCTAAGCAAATACATACTATTCTTGAGCCTATTGCTGTTGGATTTATTCTGACAGAGGAGAACTACTACATAGAGTTTCCAAGACTGTAATCTTTATAGAAGCAAACTACCTCATTGTCTACAGAGCAGCTGGTGGGTTTGAACCTTCAACCTCTCAGCAGCAGAGCTCTTAACCTCTGTGCCACTAGGGCTCCTTTTACAAGTAAATAAACACTCCACTCCTATCAAATCTATTCCAATTCATCAATCCTATATAGGGTTTCTGAGGCTATAAATCTTTACGAGAGTAGATAACCTCAACTTTCTCCTGAGAGTTTGATGGGTTTGAACTGCTGACTTTGCAGTTAGCAGTTAAAAGCTTATCTGGCAGCACCACCAGGGCTACTTAAACATAAGTAAGTAGTAATAATTAAGAAGTTAAGGAGAAGAGTATGGGGTGATTGGCAGGTTCTTTTCTAACTCAGGTGTTTGGCTGTGGGTCTTGAGGTACCCTGTCTGCCAGGCTCTTCCTGTGATTGGTTTTTCCTCCTGCACCATGATGGTGGTAGTGCATTTTGGTGTAGCAGTGACCCAGTGTTTATTCAGTCACTATACTGAAACAGTCCTGGTCCAATCTGCTTTCCTGTAAAGGAAGGCAAAGTGGCCCACGGCGGTCTGCCGCCTGGCTGGTTCCCATCAGAGGCCTTGGTGTTTGAGTGTCTGCATCCTCAGCTGGTCTCTGTTTGTATGACTGTTTGGACTCTTAGAGTGCCACAGGTGAGTTTTCTATAACATGTAAGTCTGGTTTTGTAGCAAAAGAAACAGAAACAACTTTCTGATGACAACCAAGGGGCCAGGCAGTCCATTTTTCAAATACTTTAACTGAAGTTCTGTTTTATAGTTTCTTAGGAAAGCACTTCCTATGGGATTAGTGGGACCAAAATGTGATAAAAAGCAAAGCAAAACACTTTATAAAAGTAAGTACTTTTCAACGTTTTTGGTAAGGGAAATAGTTTTTTAGATTTTTGCCATTTTTAATAGGTACATTTTTACCTGGTAAATTTGCAATCATGATCACAAAACCAAAAGCCTCACTGTTTAAAGATACATCAATGTTACTACCAAAATTCATAATTTCAGAGTATGATGATCACACCTCACTATTTCTAAGAAAGTGTGTGTGTGTGTATTTTCTATTCTATGAAGATGGGTGTAAGGTTTACTGGCTTTACTGGAGGATGTCAAGATAGTAAAGTTAAATACTTAGTTCCTATGTAAATATCAGGTCAGCTGATGGTAATTTGAATGGTAAATGTGATAACATTCTATATCAGCAGTTTTCAACTTGGGGGTCGAATGACCCTTTCACAGGGGTCGCCCGATTCATAAAAGTAGCAAAATTACAGTTATGAAGTAGCAACGAAAATAATTTTATGATTTGGGGGCCACCACAACATGAGGAACTGTATTAAAGGGTCGCGGCATTAGGAAAGTTGAGAACGACTGTTCTCTATGTTTCTCTGAGCATACAGTATCCCCATCCTTCAGTTGTGTGTGTGTGAGAGAGAGAGAGAGTGCTGACGGGAAGTATGTGATAACATCCTCTTTCTATTGTCTAGAACCAAATTGGTATTAATGGCCTTGAGTAAGTTTCTGAACCACTTCTGGCTTTGTTCCCATGTTCCTCCATTGTGACTAACCAAAGGCTCTATGGCTTGACCAGCCTTTGGGTGCCTTGGTCCAAGGTTCTGATTCTCCCCAAGCAAGTAGGCACGAGCTACCTGGGGCCTGTATTCCTCCAGCCAAGGTTCTCACTCTGCTCTCTGAAGATTCCCACTGTGCCTAACAACCCTTTCTGCCTCTTCCTCCTAAAATTTTAAATAGACACCATATTCTCCTCTGTTGGGACTTACTTATCACTTACTGCTGCTCTGCACCTGTGAAAACAGCTGCTGTGTTTTCCATCATAAAAACAGCTGTCTTTTGGCAGGGAAGCTTGGAGCTGGCTAATGGAGCTGGACCTTCATCCAGTGCTGAAGGGTGTAGGTGAGCTTAGTCTGAGATGTCCACAGTTCTAGTCAGGCTGTAGGGAGTCGGTCAGTGGATGGTTCCCCTCACTTCTTTTAGAATTACAAAGCAGACGCTTTAAAAGGTATGAATTGCAAAATAAATTGTTCCAACTAAGTTGTATTCCTACACCCCAAAGAGAACCACCCATTACAGTTTTGATGTAAAGTTTTGTCTGTTTTGTACATAAATGTGTATTTTATATTTGATTGTAAATAAAAGCAGGCTCTTGCTGTATATAGCTGTTAAAAGAAACAGTGCCTCCTGGAATGCTTTAATCCAATCATAACGAATTCATTTGCCAAGCAGAAAGTACACAATTGACCCAATTCTTCTTGCATCTCAATTTGAAGCCAAGGGAGAGGGGAAAGCCCCTGTATAGTTGCATACCAGTTTAGCTGTGGGTGTCAGCAGCCTTTCTCCTTTCAAGATTGTACACAGTGGGAGAGGAGCCTTATTGTTACTAAAAAAACAATTATTGGTAGAGAAGACAAGGCAGTCCAGTGCATCTGGAGGGTTTGACCTCCAAATTCCTGAGGGTGCTAGGAGAGCTAGAGGGAGAAATCCCATTGGAAACTGAAGCAGGCCATTCATTTTAGAGAATCATTACATGTAGGGATATGTGGATCGCTTTACTGTGTGTCTGGTGCAAGGAGACCAACCCAAAGAACCACGCCTGCTACCATCAAGTTGATCCCCTCATGGCAGCCTCACTCCCCTCTAGAGCTGTCTAGGCTATAATCTTCGTGGAAGCGAATCTCCAGGCCTTTCATTCACTGAGTGGTTTCAAACTGCCAACCTTTAGGTTAGCAGCCAATCAAAACCTGATTACACCATCTGGCAACCTTTTTATCCAAGCTCAGGGCAGCCCACATGTCCCCAGAGTCCGTAACTCTGCTCTGCCAAGGCCTGTAGCCTTCATCCCAGCTTCCAAAAGAGTACATCAAAAACACATCAGTCCAAAACCTTTGGGTTGATTCTGACTCAAAGGTAGAATTGCCCCATTGGGTTTCCAAGGCTGTGATCTTTCCTGAAGCTGAGTACCATGTTTGTTTCCTAGGGGGTGGCTGGTGGGTTTGGATCACTGACGTTTTGATTTGAAGACGAGCACTTTCACCACTGTGCCACCAGAGCTCCTAAGATTACACACAGGAAAGTGATCCTAAGTGATCCAGTTGACCCATCAGAGGGCAATAGGCAGTGCTAGAATCCTCTGTCCCACTCTTTCTGAAGCTTTGCTACATAATCTTCCCTCTCAGGACTAGTTTCTTCCGGGAGGTTTCCATCTTGGCAGGGGCTCCTGGAATCGGAACCCTTCTTGGCCTTTGCCTTCAAGCCACTCTGCCGACTTGGAAGCCAAAGATAAACAGTATTGCAGGCAGCTGAGCAGTAGGCCGGGTTAATTTACTTGACACAAATAAGCTCATTGACCTGATTTAGCCCTGGAAGGAACTGTGCAGTGGAGTTAATGTGATCTTTAAACCCTTTCTTTTCACTGCTGCCTTTTCAGACCTTGAAGGACAGCAGCTGCGTGAGAGGACGCTTGTGGGCGCTATTTCAAGGGAAGGGACAGTGAGGAGAGGATGAAGTATCGGAGAGAAAGGAACTGGAGGAGCAGGGATGCTGACAGTTGCCTTCTGTACCACTTGGTGGCACCAGTTCCATAGGTTTTCTCCCTTCCGTACACGCCTTAAGAGCAAGGAGCCCGCCTCTCTATAAAACAATGAATTCTCTGACCAGAGGCCCGTCTGTGGTGCTGACAAATCAGAACTCCTCCCTGGGCCCTGCTTTTGTTGAGGACAGGGGCTCAGAAAAGTAGCCCTTGAGAAAGGACACAAGGTGATGGCTGGTGCCACTCAAGACCCAGAGCTTAAATAAATAACCTGTAGCCCAGGGCCACCTTGTTCCTCTCTGCCATTCAGCAGACAAAAGGTGGGCCTCAACCATTCTCTCCCAGATAAGGACAACCAACATTTCTGGATTGCTTACTGTGTACCATTCTGCATAAGCAGCAGCATGTTACAACTGTACCTTCTTCTGACATAGCACTGTTTTTGTTTTTAATTGTGGTAGAGGATATATAGCAAAACTGTCATTTTATCATTTTTAATTGTACATTTCAGTTACATTATATTCAGTACATGTGCAACCATCTCCACTATGCATGTCCTAAACATTTTCATCATCCCTAAATTGAAGCTCAGTATCCACTAGGCAATAAATCCTTCTTCCTCCCTTCTCCCATTAATGCAGTGTCCCACTCTAAATTTTTCACATAAGTAAGATCATATAGTATTTGTCCATTTTTGTGTCTGGCTTATTTCAACATCAAGGCTCATCCATATCACAACATGTCTCTGAACTTTGTTTCTCTTTCTGGCTGGATAATATTACATTGTGTCATGAAATACTTTCACATATTGACTATTATAAATAATGTTGCTCATAACATTCATGTATAAGTCTTTGTATGAGTGTTTTTGTTTTTTTTTGTTCTCATGTGTGCAGGCTCTGATTGAAAGTTTATCTAAACACAAAGATCCTGCTGCCTCCTACCCACCCACACCCACCAATTAGGTAAATCAGTTCTGACTTAACGCTTACTGATGAAGAGCAAAGAGTACTACTGCCTTCAATATGGAGGACACCTCAACATAAAGAAAAGAAGGATCCCATAACTGGGCCAAAATCAACATCATGATAAATGGAGAAAAGATAGACATTGCCAAGGGTTAATTTTACTTGGGCCCATAATCAGTGCCCATGAGAGCAGCAATGAGGAAGCCAGATCAGATGACTGATTGCATTGGGCAAATGTGCTACAAAAGATCGCTTTAAAGTGATAAACAGGTAAGACGTCACTTTGAAGTATAAGCTGCCCCTGACCCAACAGAAAGACTACAGAAGAATTAGCATGTTGGTGAAGAATGTTGACTGTATCACAGACTTCCAGAAGAACAAATAAATCTGTTGGAAGAAGTACAGCCAGAATGATCGTTAGAGGGGAAAATAGTGAGACTTCATCTCATGTACTTTTGGACTTGTCCTCAGGAAGGTCCAGTCCCTGAAGAAAGACGGCATACTTGACCCATTCAAGGGTTCTCAAAAGAGGAAGACACTCAGTGAGGTGAACTGACTCAGGTGGCTGTGACAGTGAGCTCAAGTGTTGCAACGACTATGAGGCCATCACAAGACGGGCAGTATTTTGCTCCTTTGTATGTGGGGTCGATAGGAGTTGCAATGACACCAAGCAACAACAGCAACCAGTGCTCAAAGTAGACTTGATGCGCTTATGTTATCTTTGCAACTGTTTTTGGTAATGTGAAGCAACAGAAAGGTTTACATTATAAGTCCTATTTTAAAAATTGCCTTGTCCCAGGACATGTTTCATTCTTGCTAAGGCTGACTGTTATCTGGTCAGCTTGCCTAAAGTTTTTCAAGTTATTGCTTGGTTAACTTGACAAAATACTTTTTTTAATGAATTGTATACTTCTCAGCTGATTAAAAAAAAAA